TTATTAGTTTTTGTATTAGACCTATCCTTAGATTTGGTTCAGCCCATACCAATGTCCAAATCCATGAGGTCTTTCCTATATATAGTGTTGTCACATACATAAATGGATTCCATTCATTCATGATCTTATACACATTACATGTTTCCTCTAACTCTTCTCTCTATCTTATACACATTACATATTAGACTTGTATATTTTACGGGAGTAATACAATACACACCAGAATTATACATTGTTATTAATTCAAGGTGGATTTCAAGATGGATTTACGTCACCTTATCTTAGCATAAAAGTTGTCACGCACATTATATTGATTTCATAGTGAGTGTAAACACCTTCGGGTTTTGAACTTTTGATCGATTCTGATTGAGCTGAGTCCTCGGGGTGTATCCATTGTGGGGGCAGCTGCCCCTCATCCCCAATCCAGCCCTTGTGTGTAGGGGAAAGTTCAAATAAAAAGAATCTTATGTAAACTAAGTGCTCCGTATTAATTTCACCTATCCAAATTGTCAATTTGGTGCACAATAACATTTATCTAGTTAATTTTTTTTCGAATAAACTTTATCTGTGTACTTTTCCAACACCTAGACACGCGGACATTTTCGTGAATATTGAAATGGTGTACCAAATAAAATTTATTTTGCATCGGATTGACTCTTTGAACGGCTAGAATTAATTCTTGTTTTACAGGTTATCACTTTTTTATTTGATTCAAAAAATAGTGGGAAGTCGCACTTTGGTATTTCAAATGTTACCAATATTGAAATGTAATTCTCGTGTCTTCGGGTTTGTAAATGTCACTCCTTAACTGTCCAAATAGTTGTAAATATGATTCTTTGAGGGGTGCAATGTTCAATGTGGGCGAGGACCACATTTACACAAATCTAAACAATTAAGAAGTTACATTTACACATTTGGAAACATGGTGATTACATTTCAATATCAGTACTATTTGAGGGACTAAAAGTAGACATGGCAATGAATCAAGTCGGGACGGGTACTAGAAGACCCGGACCTGCCCCGATGACTTTACTAGGTGGACCCGCGCCCTCCCTGTGACCCACACGAGTCAATACTTGTTGGTCCATGACTCGCCCCATGCGGGCCCCATTGTAACCTAATTAGCTACTATGCATTTCTATTTGCGTGAAGTCGTAACACTTGAATTCACATAAACTTATCTCTAAGTAATTATTAAAAATTAATATATTAAATCAAAGTCACAATACGCTAACAATTTCAAAAATTATGAAAAAGTACCTAGACTTGATTAGCTCATCTATTTATTATACTAATAAGTGAATATGTAAAATGTTCAATATAAAAAAGACATTGACAATTCGGCGTTTATCTCAATCAAATATAAATATACGTAGTAATATATTATAAGACCAAAGAATTTATGTTTTTTTGGAAAGAAACTACTTATATTAAGATCAAAACAGTCGCAATAACACCCAAGCCATAGGATCTAAACTTCCCACTATCCAACCCATTCGAAAAGCACTTCGACCTCCTCACGTCATGATCAGACATAGAATAGTCCACTCCGAGAAGAGCGAGACTATTCGCTGAAACAGTGAGAGCATAGAGGCTATTAGCGACTGAATCATCCTGATTGCCTCCAACAATTTTCCTACCAACAAGCAACACACATATCCCCCCTATTGTGCAGAACAAAAACAACAAGCAAATTTAGTTTGAAATAAAAAATGAAATAGAAATAAAACTGCAGTTGATAAATTTTCTGGTTTCCGTCCTTACTGGATCCTCCTGCCTACTATTCAATTGTGTGTTAGGCGAGCATTGTAGCCCGCCTCCTCCCCGTTTTTTGTGAGTCCCCTCTTTATCTTCATACCTTCTTGCAGAGAGCCTTCCTTTCCTTGGTCAACCCTCATACGCTTCTGCTCAATCTTCTCTCCTGTAGCATGATATTCGTTCCATGGAGCTCCATGGCCATCCACACCCGATGCACTGTTGCTTCCTACACCTTCCTTCCCTTTTCCTTTACCCACTGAAACTAACCACTTATTCCCGCTCGATAGTACTCTCCCCTTTGAAGCTCTCAGTTCCGTTCCAAACGGCAGATCTTCCTCCTTCCCCACACCATTGGGGTAGCGCAAGCAATACCTTTCTACGTGCCCAAAAAAACCACATGCAAAACAGAAACTAGGGAATTTCTCATATTTAAAACTGACACAAAAATTTTCCCTTCATCAGTATGAAAAAATAGCTTCTGTTTCAGGGGCCTGGTCAGATCGATACTAACTCTTATCCTCATGAATGGGTTCCACTTGTTTGAAAAATTATATTCATCCACTTTAATGTATTTCCCCACAAAATTACCAATTTTTATTGCATTGTTCATAGAAAAAAGCCAACCCGAACATCATGAATCTCCAACCAGAAATCAGCCCTATTTAAGGGTACCTCTAACGATAAATCCACTTGCCTAAACCTGTTCAAGGGTACCTCTAACGGTACCAATTTATGATTTATTAAAGGAAAAATTGATAGTAATAATCTCAATTATTGGCGGTCCGCTCATAATAATCCCAACTATTGATTATTTCAGAATAATCCCAATTTTAGGGACCTTCCGCCAATAATGGTCCTATAGATAAATTCTTGTAGTTTTTAAAGTGGATGAGATGATATATAGCAAGTAATCCCTATAAAAAATTCCAACTTTTTAATGTTTACGCTTAATTTCTATTTAAAATTCACTTGCTATAGGACTATAGGAGGTAATATCTGGTCATGGACCATTATTTGCGGACGATCTATATAGTTGGGATTATACAAAAATAATCAATAGTTATGATTATTTTCAGCGGACCGGCAATAGTTGAGATTATTAAATGCACACGGAGTTACATATGTAATATATGTATATTTGTAGTATAATTTTTTTAAAATTATAGTCCGTATATACTTAATTATATATTGAGCGGGGCGGGATGACACGGGTCAATATTAATATCCAGACCCACCCCATTCTGCTGGCGGAACGGGCAGACCCGTCTCATTTTTTAGGATGGGTGGGGCGGACCCGCCTACCGGGGCGGGTCATTCGGCAAGGTTTTTTTTACATTGCCTAACTAAGAGGCCATTTGGTAATACTGTTTTTCGGCTTATCAGGCTTATCAGTCAACTTTTTCACCAAACACGTAACTTTTGCTCACGCGCTGAATTGTGTAATAATAATAAAAAGTAAGGTTGCGGTTACTTTTCTGACTGTATTGGCTGAAGTTGCTTTAGATGACCATTTTAGCTATCTTTATGTATAATGTTTTCTTTATTTTATTAAGGGAGATTTACCTAAATAAGACTAAATAAATCCTTAATTGTCAAAATAGGACTAAACTTTAAAAATTCCCTAAATGGGAGTTATTATATGTAATTAGACAGAAACACCCCTGGAACCCTGAAAAAAGGACTGCCGTTGACAGAACCTAACCAGTCGCCGCTGGTCAACGGCCACCGGCCGCCTCCGGCCGCTGCCTTCTCATCAGAACTGGATGTCGTCTCTATAGATCTCAACGCCGCTGATACAGATCTGATTGTTGTCGGTGCGGATCTGGACATCACATTCGTAGATCTGACCAGATCTGTCCGCCTCTAGCCGCTGGCCATGTAAATATGACTGCCGCCATTGGATGTCCAGCCATCTCCACTCCAAATCTGATCGACCCCGTCGCTAATGCCAACATTTTTCTCAGAATGTCAAAATGAATCAAGAATGCCATCTTAATGGCATTTTTTAAAGAAATTACAAAAAGTTTTGTAGTGTAAAAATGCCATTTTGATGGCATTCCAGAGTAAAATTTGACAATTTGAAACACCAAAGAAGAAATAGAGGGGAAGCTAGAGAGAAACACATGAGAGGAGGAAGGAGGAGGAAGGAGGGGAAGATACTCCGGTAGATCTCGACTTGCTACTCACTCACTCGTTGCTTGGCTATGCTCCTCTGCCCGCCTCTATTGTTCATCACTGCTCGCCGCATCAGTAAGCGATGAGAGGAAGAGGAGAATGGTGGTCGCTGCCGCTCGCGGTTGAAGCCCAGATCTGCGCACAAAGATGTCGCACGGTTGAAAGATGCACCGATGTTATGCGAATAAAATGATACAGAAGTTGTGAGCTGGAGATGAGTTAAATGAATCACAGGGGTAAAATTAGAAGAAGAGTCCTATTTAAGGGATAAAATTATACTACTCCTATTTTGGAATTTCAACCACAATTAAGTCCTATTTGGGGCTATTTTCCTTTTTATTAATAAAATATATTATAAAAATGTATTTTTCATAAATCAGCAATGAAGCAACCTCCCGAGTGCCTATACCGTACACCCGGCTGTACGGTGCAAATCGTACAGCCGGTGACAATTTTGTAAATTTAGTGAAGACCATGGTTTCTGCTAGATGAGTATTAGTGAAATGTTAATGAGCAGTAGTCCAATTGTAATGAGTACTAATAATCTAGTAATGAGCACGGTGTCATTACATGAAAGCTGATATCACAAATAAAAAACGGTGGCATTTTTGTAATTTCACTGAAAATCGCGATTTTGATTAGATGAGCATTAATACATTTTTAATGAGTATCAGACATATTCTACTGAGTATTAAGAATCGAACAATGAATATTGTGATATCAACTTCATATATTGTAATCCACTTTTTTTTCTTATTTTTTTCTTTTATAAAAATTCATTAAATTGTATGTATAGTAAACTTCTATGAACTTCCATATGTGAATATAATGTAATATGATACTCTTTTAAATATGTATTGGAAGAACATTTTAACATGAGCATAATACGAGTACTGCATGAGTAGCATGTGTAACTTACAAAAAGAGTATTAATATGAAAATCATATTTTTTTAGTTGAGTATCAAGACATTTGCTTTGAGTATCAAACCCTCTTTATTGATTGAATCTAATAGTACACCAATATCAAATGAGCATACTCACTTTACGAATGAGTATCAAAAAATTCAAAAGGCTCATTCAAAATGAGCATATATAGCTTACGAAATGAGTAGTGAAAAAATTTAAATGAGCATTACACCAATATGCATGGATATCACATTTTGAAATGAGCATTACACAAATCTAAATGAGTATACATAAATTATGAATAATAACTTATAAAAAATCTTAAAGAAAAAATAAAGAAAAGAAATAACTGAAACAGGAAAACAACAAAAAGTGAAAAGCAAGAAACGATTAAATGAAAAGCCACCGAAAAGTGAAAAGCAAAGAAACGATTAAATGAAAGTGAAAAGCAACGAAAAGAAGAGGAAACCAAAAAGAAAAGAAAACGGAGTAAAGCCATAGTGCGTGAGAGGTACTCCGTATTTCCCAAGCTTGGCGCTAGTAGTCCGTAGCAGCCATCAGCGAAAAAGAAAAAAATCGGCAGACGAACAGCGGGGAAAAGAAAAGCAGCAACATCCATTAACCTAACCTTTACCACTGAACTTGGATTTAATTACGGTATATATTACGCAACCTCCCCATATTTTGGAAAATACTATCGTACTAGTTAAATTTGTCCTGTTATATCCTTCCTTGGCCAACATGCGTTCCTGCCTTCCTGGAGTGCCATCACTGTTTCTGAGAATTACCCGCCAGTCCGCCTCTGCATCTTAATCAGGCAAATCTAACTTTGTTCGTGCATGCATGTTTGTTGAACCATAAACTATCCAAACCGTCTTTCTCTCATTATAGCTCTGCAGTATTTTAAAGAATCTGGCTTTGTTATTGTAATGTAATTACTAATTATTATACACAACTATTGATCCAAAAGCTTAATCGAAATCGAAGCCGTATAAAAGCTTCATTCTTGGATGATCATCATACGAAACTATCACAGTAATGGACAGGACGAGGCCAATGTATGCCCCACCGCAAAAGGGCGCTCAAAACACGTCGAATTCGGAAGCTCCGTCTTCTCTTGGGACTGCATCTCCGGTTCATCATGGCCATTCACGCTCAGGGTCATTCTCAAATGCAAGGAAACCGCAGAACACGAAAGCCGCTGCTCAAAAGCTTGCTCAGGTTATGGCGCATCAGACGACTGATGATGACGATGAAGATGACGACCTTCTATGCGATCCTGTTTCTGTCAGTCTTTCTGCTGGGGTTGGGCTTGCGGGAGGAAGATCAGCCAGAAATCGCTCTACTGTGGTAAGAATTCTGATTGAAAATGCTCTTTACCTGCTTGTATCTTTTACCCACACAGATATTTATATGTACATGCACACTGCACACATCTGACAAGACTGAGATTCCATTGTAGTAGGATTGGGTCAGTTCAGACCACTACTTGTTTCCATACTGATATAAAAATGGCATGTAAACCCATATTTTATTGTTTGTCTTAGTCAATTCCTGCATCCATGGAACAACCTGTATCTTTACGTCCAGTGCAAAGGAGGGCATCTCCATCTCATGCTTCTTCAGAACAGAAACATCCATCTGCTCACCCAACCTCTGCTACTCGGTCGTCTCAGCTTAGTTCGGTAGATCAACCTCCATCTGCTCGTTCATCTTCTGCAAATCGGCCGTCCCAGATGAGTTCAGTTGAGCAACCTTCATCAGCTCGGTCAACTTCAACAATTCAGACATCTCAGCTCAGTTCTTCAGTAGAGCAACCTCCCTCCGCTCGTTCACCAGCTCGCTCAATCCTGACAAATCGATCATTGCAGTCAAGTGCAGTAGAGCAACCTTCTTCAGCTCGTTCTTTTCAAGCTGGTAGCTCACTTCAGTCCACTAACTCTGTAGAAGCTATGCAGCCTCTATCTGCTAGGTCCTCTCATCTAGTTACAACGGAACAGCCAACATCTGCTCGTTCTACATTAGCTAGCCGACCTAATTTAGGTGTCAAGGTTGTTCCCATAGTGCCTTCAACTGTACCCATCTCACTTAGAACACCTTTTGAGGTTCAATCTGAAAGCCACAAGGATAAAAGGTATACTGAAGCATGATTTATATGTCCAGTTAACTCCTGTCTTTATAGTCATTTGATCTGAAGTGTTGAGGTGTTAGTATATGGTGAGCTTTAAATTTTGTATGCCATTGTAAGTTTTAACCACTAGGTGTTTGGTGGATGGGGAAAAAGTGTGTTCAATTACAGGGAGATTTTTAAAATTATGCATTACATTCAAGTGGACTTGTTTTGACTGTTATTCACATGTGGTAGTTTCAGAGAAAATTAAGTGAAATTGTGCTATTTCCGAACATGTTTGGTGCAAACAAACATACTATACATATGAGTTTCTAGGTTTGTTTTAGTGTTATGTGTTTGTAAATGGTATACAGATTCATCCATATCCAATCCTTTAATGTCTTGTATATATCTTGTAAAACTTTACAGCTAATTTTTATTCTAATTTTGGGTTTCTTTTTTTATTTCAGAGTTCCGTATTGATGTTTTATTTATTTTAATTCATAATCAGGTTATCACTAGACTTTGGAACTTTTAAGCATAATGGACCTACTGCTCAGGAAACTTCTGCGCTACAAGATGAGGTATGACCATCATAGCAGGGGCGGAGCCAGGGCATTGGGCCAGACTGGGCCGATACAAAGAATATTTTTGGAAAAAAATTTTACACGGAATTTTTTACAGTAAAAAATTAGACATTTTTAAAATTTGGACTGGGCCAGGGCTGGCCCTCCCCTAGCTCCGCCCCTGCATCACAGTGCGATTAGTTTGTACTTTGTATCATGTGCATTTACTATTACAGCTGTTGCTGTTAATGTTTGTGATCCTTGATGAAATCATATTCTTTGTTCAACTTGGGGCTATATGCTGTTAATGTTTGTAGAACTACAGTTTTTTCTCAGCTAGCTTTTGCATTCTCCCAAGTGACAAGCTGGTTATCTTTTAGTCATTTTCATTTAGCAGTAACAATTCTAATACCCTTTTCATATACTCCATATAACAAAAGGCGCAAAATGCCTTATCCACTTGTGACATTTGTTGCCAGCATTGTTTCTCTTACATTACTTTGCATTAGATGTGTCATGTTTTCTGAGTGAAATTACTACTTATAAGTAACATTGTGGTATCTGCAGCTTGATATGCTTCAGGAGCAAAATGAAAGTTTACTTCAAAAGGTATTTAAATTTTGCATCTCATATTGCATGGAACTTCTTCATCTGGTTTTACGCATAGAAATCTTTTTTATCATTTGACTTATAAGATAACCTGACTACACATTATTAATTATACCTTTCAGCTTCGACTGACAGAAGAGCGTTTTGAGGAATCAGAAGCCAGGGCTAGGCAGCTTGAGAAGCAAGTAACTCTGCAAGCACTTGCTTTTGAATTAAATGCACCAAAAATGTCCAAGTTTTGCAATTTGTCATTATTAATGAGTATTATTGTTGCTCTTATTTTAAAAAACATTATTTAGCTATTGTTTCACATGAGCATACCTTAAATTCTTTTATTTATTTATTTAATCCTAATCTCTGTTACTTATCTTAAATTTATTCAGCTTATCTTACAAAAATGTAAGGGGCTTAGAATTTCTGAAGATTGATATTTGATTTTCCTTTTGGTGTGCTTGGCTACCCTCTCTTTACTCTTTTGGTGTGCTAATTTTTTGTTATGTGGTTCTTTTGCAAGGTCGCAAATCTCGGAGAGGGTGTATCTCTGGATGCTCGTCTTTTAAGCAGGCAAGGTCTACAAACTTAGCAATTTTGCATTCGGGACTTTGGTGTTTTAATTACTAGCTAAAATTGTTTCGAATTTGTGTACCTTTTATCCGTTCACTTTTTCACTTTCACAGGAAGGAAGCTGCTCTACAGCAAAGGGAGGTGCGTAGTCCACTATTTTTTAGTCGCAGGCCCTGCACAGTTAAACTGCAATGATCCAAATGTTTCTCTATGTTCCATATTTGATTCTCAAGCCAACCATTAATGCTCTTTATATGTTATGAATTCCAATCTTACATGCATTCGATATTCTTAACCACATTGTTACATCCATCGCTCAGCATTGTATTGTTCATCACATGAATATTGTCTAAAATCTTTTATAATGAAAATGTTGAAAATTAGAGTTTTGTAAATTATGAATTTAGAAAATGGGATACCATCAATTGACTTTTCCAGATGTGTTGAGAAGTAGAGTTGACTTCATGAGACTAAATATTATGAAGTCCTCTAAAATACTCTACCTTTGAACTAGAATTATTAATTTATCAAGGCAGCCTAGTGGACATTGGCGTCCCCGCAAGGCGAGGGTCCGGAGAAGAGTCCCACCACAAAGGTGTATAAGGAGCAAGTCTTCTCTCGTCATTTTGATAAGAGGCCACTCCTAGGACTTGATCTTTTGACCTTTCAGTCACACACCAACACCTTAACCGCCACTCCCATGTTTTAAACGGAGTAATTATTACTACTACTGTTTATAAATTTATTATCATATCAATATTGGTAATATAAGTTTACATATTTAGCATCTGTATTAAAAGTTCTTTTGAATCAAAATAACCAAATTTGAATACAATAAAAGCTTGTTACACAAAATTGTAAATTAATGAAAATTGGGTTGATCAAGAAAAGTAAAAGTGAATATCATTTTGGGGCGGAAGGAGTATATGATATGTATGCCAGTCTAAAATCTTGATTGGAGTACATGACATTCTGTCCCTGCTTAAATCATGCTCCATCTTTTGTACTCCGTGCTTTTCATTTGGTATTGCAACATGGAGAAGACTGTGTCTAGCTATATGGCTTTGTTTTAATCTCCTCTTATGCACAAGCTTTAACTGCTAAATGCTAGTACAATATAGCAAGGCACTACATTTGTAAAACTTGCCTGCTTGTTTAGGAATCTACTAGAAATGCAGTTCAAAATTGTACATGAAATCGAGCTATCTTGCAGGCTGCACTAAAAGTTGCACCACAAGCAAGTGGTGAAGTTGGAAAGTGCGAAGAGATTGAATCCCTACGAGCAGAGGCTGAGGTATTCGGAACTCCATCTTGTATGTTTGGTCTGTTGGTGCTATTGATTGACTATTCTGTTCAGAATAATAAAATGCTTGCGGGATAAATGTATTATTTTCCTGTCACAAATTCATATGATATTCAGACTGCAAGGGATGAAGCTGCATCTGCTTTGGAGAAACTCGACCAAGCTGAGTGCGAGATCAAATCCCTACAAAACATGATGAAAAGAATGGCACTCAACCAGGATGAGATGGTACATGATAGCTATGACTTCCCAGTAGCATCCTCTTTTGTGTACTCATGTGATTCACAGTTTCTCGATTCAGGAAGAGGTTGTTCTCAAGCGGTGTTGGCTTGCTCGGTACTGGGGCTTGTGTGTCCGTTATGGTAATTAAATAGAAAGTTATGTTAATTGAACTTCCATGTATTCGTGCACCTTTTTCTCTTTCTAAGCTATGTTAAACCCATCAAAGCATTGGGGCTCAATGAGCATATACTGCATGACAGAAAAAAAGTGGAAAAAGAGGATTTTGGTGGTGACCTATTGTGATTTGCTATTGGTTCATGTAGCTGACCCCATTTATTTTTTATTAATGCTTGGTTGTTGGTGTGCCAATAGTTAACTAGTTATACTCCGTATTAAATATGTACTCCCTACTTTAAATTGCATTGTTACGACTGACAACGAAAATGGTAACCAAAGCCCTCTCTGGTCGAGTGGTCTATTTATGCTTAGTAGTGATAGAATATTCTCCGAAATTTCAAAGAATATTCAATTTTTAATGATTAGTGGTGTCATTTGATTAGTTATTTGCTTTTGGAATGCTATAGATGAAGAATATTATTTGATAATTTAATTAATTTATGAAAATAATGAAGAATAGTTTTCTCCCGATAGTGCTTAACCATATTATTTCCCTTAGAACTGTGATTAAGAATGACACTTGTGACAAAAAGAGATATTGCCTGTGCTATTTCTGAGAATCTGAGTATAATGCAATGGAAAATCACTGCAGGTATTCAATCTGATATAGCTGGAGCAAAGTACGAATACTGGTCATCCTTTGCCCCTTTTCCACTTGAGCTTCTGTTAAAAGCAGGACAGAAGGCAAAAGGTGAAAGAACATTAAGTAGTAATGTATGTCCACAGTTGTTGCTGAATCGCGATTTAAGAAGTTCTTATGCTGGTCTTGGTTTTCCTTTGAAACTCTAGTTTATAATGACGCGGATGAAAAGCAAAAACTTGGTCCTGATGTTGGACTTTCAACAGAAGGATGTCTTGAGAGCATGTTATTAGTAGATAAGGGTCTTCGAGAATTGACATCACTCAAGGTTTTTACAAGTTTTAGTTCTCTTTCTGATTATCATTTTATATCGATCTTAGTGTGCACAGTTAGGACATCTCATACGATTTATCTTAGAATTCATGGCTTATAAATTAGAGAAGAATATTGTATTGATATGCTCAAGTCTATATATAAGGTCCCAGTTTGAGGAAGCGGTCCAGCCCAGCTGGTCGCCGACTCACTCTCCCTTATGGGGGGAGGTTCCGGGTTCAATTCTCAATGGAGTGAGATTGATCCCAGTTTACCCCAGGCCCCCCAAACCCCCCTCCCTCTGACGCCCCCTGGGGTAATATGTGTGTGTGTGTGTGTATAAGGTCCCAGTTTCTAACACTAGCCAGTGTATATGAAATGGGCTTAAGCCTACTGCCACTGCGTTTAGGGTTACACTGTACTATTTAACACCCCCTTAAAGTTAGAACATATAACTCATGAGATGGATTTAATGCAATCTGCATTGCAGCCTGGTTATCACACATATAAGGGTCACTTGTGTCACATTACCATATGACAATTACTAAAGTGCTTCAACCATATAAGTTCACAGGTGACTAGGATCATAGCACGGCACTCATTGTTGTCGACCTTGTTGAGTATTCATATAATAAATTCTTCCATAGTTCCATGGGAGAACCACTCTTTTAGTGTATGGTCGCGATTCACCCCTTACAAAAGCTTGGAGGGCATCTAGGCTTGAGGCAGTGGACCATGCATTTATTGAGCAACATGTGGTCCTGATAGATGCTTGTAGAAGACTGTTGCAAGCTCAGCAATGCATGACAGTTCGTTATGACAAGAGCACTGTGCATTGGAATTCAACGCGGGCAATTTGGGGGGTTTCTTGAAACCACATCCTCATGATCAAAAGGACATATTAGGGACATATAAGACACATATTACTATATTAGAAACACATTAAGATTGAAGGAATAGCTCTACCAAGTACCAACTCCGAAGCATGGGATAAACAAAAATGCATTCAAATTTTATTCGGGATAATCCATTTTTCTTAACAGGCTTTTTCGAAGAAGATAGTTCTGCAGATTCTTCATCAATTCAGTGCATTGTGCTATATTTGGCACGATTCCATATTGTTATCATCTTTTAATTCCTAAGAAACAAATTATCGTATTTAATTTGTAATTAGTAATAACCAACACTGAACTTCTAATTTAGTCTAAATCTTTCTGTCCTGCAAAAGGTAGAAGAAGCAGTAGCTCTTGCTATAGCCCAACAACGAAGACCAAGTGGCATGAAATCCAGTGCAAGAGGTACTCTTTGATTCTTATTGTAAGCATGGCAGTTTCTCCTTAGTGCAGTCTAGTATTTTACCATTTAAAGATATTTAATCCGATTCTTTTAAGAAAGAGGGAATGTTTTAAGCAATAAATCAAAAATTGCAAATCTTCTTGTTGTAGTTAGAAATTATTTCTTGACATATGGTCATCCCAGTACCCGGTGTCCTCTAAGAGTTTAGTTCTTAAGTTATATTCATTCAATGTAAATTATAATTTGTTTTTCAACTTTTGGAAAACAAGATGTTCAATTTGATGTCTAACTTGCTCTTTGCTACAGATGACTTGAAGCTGCCTTATGAAGGCCATGAATTTGCAGAAACATTTGGTAAGTAAGTCACTTTCTAGATAAGGGTTTTGCAAGCTAACTGCGATTGACGCTGACTTGACCAAAAAGAATTGTGCAAATCTATGTTGCATGGAAACACACTCTTTCCCGAGAGTTTCCGTGCTTCATTGGTGCAAGTCTTAAAGCTTAATCGCAAGGCAATGGAACAAATGTTGGGCAACAAGTTTATTAGATATCAAAGATTATCCTCTGATTCTCTTCCTATATTACTACATTCTCTACCTTAGATGTGGTCTCCTACGGTCTCATGGTGAGACAAGCCAAAATGAATTACTTTCAAGGTAATTCAAAAATAACGGCATTTTAAATATTGGTTAACTTTTAAAGTATTTAAAATCTCACACAAGTTTCAGTCTTTACCTTATGGTCTTGCTTCTTTTGTATGCACTTTGGTAGTCGGAAGTCAACTTCCTCTGCCAAAATTCATAACGGCCTTGAACTTGTTGTCCAAAAACTAAGACGTAGTATATTTTAATGCATTCCTACATTTTTTTATCTGTTTGTGAGTCACACACACAACACATACACACACAGAACATAAAGAGTGAATGCAAATTTGTCGGGATCTTATTATGCATTTGATTCCTGGAGAAATTGCTAATCTCAAAGTGTCTCTTGTCTCTAATTCAAAAGCATTTTTTTTAGCACAGATTTAAGTGAGGAGGAGTCTGAGGATTTACATGTGAAACAGGTATTATTGGCAATTCAAGCATATCATTGGTCAAAAAAAAAAAACATATCATTGCTATCATCATTTACTTGCATTCTGCATATGTTATTTAACTCATCACCACCCCTTTCTCACATGTTTCTGTTTCCAATTTTCTCAGGACAATTAGATCATTTGTTAGACTAATAGCTTCAATTTGGCTAACTCCTCATGTTTGTTTGTCAAACTATTGCAGGCTTGGCTTTTATATTTTTGGAGAAGAGCTAAGAACCAAGGAGTTGAAACTGATATTGCAGAAGAGAGACTGAACTTCTGGATCAACCAAGGTGATCAACCATTCAATTCACAGGATGCAGTTAATGGTAAAGCCCTGATCATAACTCAAAAGTTACATCTGCAAATTGCATGCGAACCTGCAGTTTGATTTCGAATAGATAATTCACAAGAAATGCGAAGGGGAGCCTTGACACACCGGTTACGGTGTTGCTGTGTGACCGAGAGGTCACGGGTCAAGTCTTGTGAGCAGTCTCTTGTCAAAATGACAAGGGAAGGCTCGCTCCTCATACATCCTTACGGTGGGATCCTCCCCCCCAGACCCATGCCTTGCAGGGATGCTAATGTGCACCAGACTGCTTTTTAATGTTCAAGAAATGCATTCTGTCTCTGCACATAAGTTTACAGCCTTTAGGCCGGCAAACAATTAAAAACTTATTGTAGGCGATAGTGTGTGATTGCTTTTCAAGTTTTGTACTCTCTCTACCTTGCATAGTTTTTGTAGGATTTTCATTATAATGTAGGTAAATGTTTATGTTGCTCATGCCTTGCAGTCGAACGCGGTCTTGTGGAGCTCAAGAAACTAGGGATTGAAATGCAGTTATGGAGCAGGTCTCGTGAACATATAGATTGTGAGACTACTAACAAATTGCTGAAGTATAACGATTTCTGAGACTAGGAGCTCTTCCTTCTTGAGTCGACTGGGTTCTTCCTTTTAGCTGCTCTAACTACTACTCGATTTTTTTAGCAAACTACTCCCTTAATCTTATTATGTAAATCATTGTGTAGCTAGAGCTCAGAAGCACAATCATTCCACAGCTAGCCAGTGAGCGGCTGTGATCTTTGAAGAAAAAATTGAGGCAATTTTGGTTTTTTTTAAATATTACTCCGTATTTTAAAAGAATAAATCTGTTCATTCCAAGAATGTACATAATATTGTAATATTGAATAATGGTCAAATTCGAGCCAAATGTTTGACTGTAAAATGTTAGTCAATGCTATAAGTATGTAGAAAAAAAAAAAGGCAATGATTATAGAGCGAGAAAATATGGAGGTTTGCATTGAAGAACCGGTATGTCTGGATAAAGGGAGATGCTACGCGCCTCCAATATTGCTTTGCGCACCCACCTTTTGTCAATTGTGGACAAGTTTGTCCTTAATTAGTCAAAGCTCATGTCACTTCTAATTTGCAAGGCGCACAACCTGCGTAAAGCATCTCCCTTCATTTAATTGATTTTTCATTTATTGTGTCTTATTGCTTTTTAAAAATAAAAATACGTTTTAATGTTTCATAAAAATTTGTGTAAGTGTGTAACATGTTTCTAAAACACAACGGTGACTATCTTTCAAATACATTCAACGTCCTAATATAATTAATATAATTAGGATTAAATTTTTTAACTTCCATCAAACAACTACTATATAAATATTTGTAACTCATTATTAATACTTTTATAAATTTTTTACAATCTTCTTATACAATGGAGAATGAATCTGAAAATTATCTAAAAAGTAGTACTCTTGATTTTCAGACTTATGATGTATTCATTTGCCCCACTATTTGTATCTCAGTTCTTCCTTTTGATATGTTTCATTAAGTGTTTTTGTTGACAGAGTTACATTAAGTTTCTCGTAAACAATATTCGTTAATATTTTGATGATCACGTATATACTTTTTTATTCATCTTTATATTGAATACTATTGTCTATATTCTATTATCATCTAACTATGATATGATAATATCTAGAATGTTTTTAGTTGAGATGTTTTCGATCTCGGATCAGACCAAATCAAAATTTGGTAGTTGTACAACACATATACAAAAGAACACGCGCACCCACATAAACAAACATCTAATAGGACAGACTAGTTTAGACTAGACTAGACTAGACCAAACTTAAATCAAACAAATAAGATAAGATTATATCAAATTAGACAATAAGATTATTGATAGTATAACAATAAATTAATGTCACCCAATAAATAAATCTCTGTCACACTAATAAGTACACTTCAAATTGCAATTGTCTTTTTATAAATTAACGGCTACTATATATAATTTAGAATGCTAGTTTAATATATTTTTATAAATCCAAAGTTTTAATATAAATAAGCATTATTAATTTTTTGACCATATATGTTACTCCGTACATAACTAGATTTCGGACGCGAATGATACTTAGAATATTTTTAATTGAATTGATTTCGATCTAGACAAATTCAACAAATGAGTTCAGATCAAACTAGAGTAGATTTAAAAAAATACTACGTAGTAAATATACATTAATCGGCTGTTCAACAGACTTAACCAAATGTTTTTTTTAAATTTTTACATATATGATATTGATGTCATATATGATATTGATGTCAAATCATAAAAAATTATTTAATTTGATATATTTTTTTATAAAAGTAGCACCAAAATTAGAAAAGTAATAACATTTTATATAAAAAAAGAGGAAAATTGGCCACATGGCAACAAATTGTTGGAGGGAGGGTAATGTCAAATTGTTAGACTTGGCTCTTGTGAGCTGTGATCCTATCGTTCCTACGAGAATTTAAAATTAAAAAATTAAAAATCAATAATGAAGGAAGATGTTTTACGTAGTGGTGCGCCTAGCACATTAGTAGACCTGTACAAAACCGGGCCGGCCCGCCCAGCCCTCCCAACCGGCCCGCACAAATGGGCGGGTTTGGGCATATATATTTGCCCACCGGCCCGAGCCCGGCCCGCAATAACATATGGGCGGGCTTGGGTTAGGGTGTAGGCCCGTTCGGGCCGATAAGCCCGGCCCGCTACATTTAGTGTGTGTATATATATACACTAATTTATTTATTTATTTACATGTACACATGTATATTTATATTTACTAATATAATTTACCTTTATACATATTTATAGTTTATTATATGTAAATTTAAGTTTTTAGTTCTTAACAACTAGCCCAACTAATATAGTATCTATTTTTGTACTTAAAGATAATACTTTTTGCTTGAAATTTAAATTTTAGATATAGTTTCTCATTATTATTTTAATGTAAGTATTATGTTTGTATGTGGTGAAAGGCCTATAAATATTTTAAGCGTATTAACAATTTTTTAAATTCTGTCATATTATTTTTAAAGTATTAAAAAAAATTATATAATTTAGAAAAATTTAAAGTTTTTCCGGGCCGGGAGGCCTGGTGGACTACCCGGCCCGCTCTTACGGGCGGGTATGGACATGGAGTTAGGCCCGTTTTTGCGGGCCGGGCCGGGCCCGCCCACACATGATGGGCAAAAAATTTATAAAAGCCCGGCCCGAGCCCGGCCCGAGCCCGTTTTTGTGCAGGTCTACACATTAGGAGTGACTGTGAACTTTGACCAAGGATAAAATTGTCTAGAAGTGCACAAATTGGGTGCGCCCAGCAATGTTGGAGGCGCGCGCAGCAGCTACGCTGGAAAAATACAATGAAACATAACGATAATCTGTGTAGGAAAATATTCAAAAAAGTATACTAAAAAACTACGGAGTAACTAATGACCCTGATTGAAGACCCGTTTGGTGACCGTGTTTTTCAGTTTATCAAATTTATCAGCCAACTTTTTCGTCAAACACGTAACTTTTGATTTCACGTGTTAAATTGTGTAATAATACGAAAAAGTAAAGTTGAAGTTACTTTTCTGACTGTATTGGCTGAAGTTACTATGAGATACATTTTAGCTATTTTCATGCAATTTTGTCTTTATTTTATTAAAAAAATATTTTAATTTTTTTTCGTAGAATCAGCCACTTCATCCACTTCATCAAGAACTTCAGAAATTTTAGTAGAATCAGACGATTTAACCGATTTGAGTATTACACTAATACCAAATGGGGTCCAAGTCTGCTTATTCAAAAAATTGATCGATTGGATCATTTAATTGATTTTTCACTTGGTGCACCATATTTGTTTGAAAAAATATAAAAACATAGCTTAAATTTGAAAAATAGAAAAAGATTGTAGTTTTAGAATGTCAACTTTTTTACATTTTTGGAATTATGTTGAAAATGTATTTACATTCATTTTTTTTTAAATTTGCTTGTATTTTTTTATTTTGTACTTTCACTTTTTTCATTTTCACATTTTTCAATACTATTTACATGTTTTTGACATTTTTCCTATTTTTTATATTTATATTTCTTTATTTCATAAGATCTATATAAATGTTTATGAAATTTATATTTTTTCTTAATTTATTTTTCATAAATGAAATGCCAAAGAAGGCTAAGATGTCTAGATGGATGGTGTTTTCAAAGTAAAATTGTGATACTTTTTGGGGAAAAGTACCTTAATACCCCTCCGTTCTCTAATAGATGGGAGTATAGAGTTTGACACAAGTTTAAGGGGAAAGTAATAGGGGTAGTGTAAAAGGTGTAGTGGGTTGTGTTTGAATGAAAAAATAGGAAAGAGAATGATGATATATAGGTATATGAAAGAGAATGAGAATATATAGAGTTTGACACAAGTTTAAGGGGAAAGTATATAGAGAGACAAATATTCAAGAACTAAAATTGAAAGTGAGCCATCTATTAGAGAACGGAAGGAGTATTAGTAAAATCGTCGCTTTTCCTAAAATATGACCATACATATTTTTACATGGCTAGTATGACCAACTTAATACTATCGTATGACATACTTGGGGCGCATGGCTTAATAATTGTAAAACGCTTCCAGATAAATAGGAAGAATTAATCACTTCCTATATTTAAGATAGAGTGCAACCGTTTTGAATAAAACCCCCAATAAAAAAAAAAGAATCGATATGCATGACATTCAGATCATTAGGGGTGGGCAAAAATACTAAAAAATCGGTATATCGCACTTACCGTACCGAAAAATACCGGAAAATACCGAAATATTGGTATACCGTCATTTTTGGTACGGTATCATACCGTACCGATCTATTTCGGTACGGTAACGGTAAATGTTTTCAAATACCGCGGTATACCGGTATAATACCGTACCGACTCCCTACTCAACAATTACTTTTAATTCTAATATATTGTAAAAATCCATTACAATTTTGAAGCCCAAAATTAATACTTAAGTTGGTTACAAAAAAATACAAAATAAAGGCCCAATTTCTCAAACCCATTATAACCTTATAGGGTTCTACTACGCTAACCTTAATAACTAATGAGTAATGTAAAAATGTCAAGAAACAAGTCCATCTTGTTCCTAGAGCTTGCAAGTTGTGATGGTTGGGCCGCTAAGTAGCTGACGAGTGAAGAGAGATACACGTATGTGACAAGTGTATCCACATAGGGATTCCGCGAGTCGAGACACACAACTTTGTCCGAAAGTCTTATTCAATTTTTAAAAAATTATAAAAATGACTAAATACACAATATGATATTAGAAATAAATGATTTTATATCCATGTTCTTTGAATAGTTTTGTTTATTTTTGTTAGAGATCACTATTGATTTAATTATATTTATATTGTTCAAGTTATTTTAAGAGAATGTGTTACTTTTTAATATGTGGCATGTTGAACTGCTTAAATATACTGATAATAATTATTGTTCAATATTGAATTCACATCAATAGATTATTAATTGTATTTCGTAACATTTTAATAATAGATTTAATATGTCGCTAGTAATAACGATTTAGTATATTTCGTTAGTCTATGATATTTTTTGTATTGGGAGACATGCACGGTAATTTATCGATACCGTACCGTTACCGAACCGAAACTTCGGTATATCGAAATGCGGTATACCGAAACTTCGGTAAGGTAAAGGTATGCAAATTTTGAGTATAGAGTTTAAGTAGTGGATTTAAAATACTACGTAATAGAATGTTTTATTTCAAGTTTTCAACCTTTTCTCAAAATGGACGATCAAAAAAACCTTTTCTCAAAATGGAATGATTAAAGCTTGATCGGCACTCACCACGAGTCTCGAGACTTGGAGGAGCCGTCCTGGCCATTGAAGCACAGCAAAATTTAATTAGAAAAAGGCATAAATTGATCACTCACGACTTTTATAATCATTCGGTAATCAAATTACCCATGCCACCACACCTCGGTAAAATACACCGTACAGCCGGCTGTACCGTGCGCACGGTACAACCGACCTTTTTTAGGACTTCTGCGCTTCTCGCCCGGCTTCTCCGATCTTCGTCCCTGATTCTGCGTTGCTCTCCGATCTTCACCCCTGCTTCTGCGAATCTGCGCTGCTTGCGAAGGACTTCACGCACCAAGCAGACCACTCCTCTAGCAGCTCTCTTCTCCTCAAGCTCTCCTCTCGCCATTCTCTTATCCTCTTGCAGAGCTGCGCAAGAGATGGCGGCTCTAGGCGATTTCTTTGTTGGTCGGGAAGAAGTATGCAGGGAAGACAAATTGGAAGATGATTTAGGAGATTTGAGTTCATATTTCTTAATGACGAATCTGGAATGAGTTTATATAAAACTCAAATGAGTATAAGTTTAAAAAGAATGAACATACACAAATGAATATCGAGCATATTAAAAATGAATTTTAATTTATGTTAAACTGAAATATGTATAAAACCAAAAATGAATGAGCATTCACAAATGATCTTTTGAATTTTCTATACTCATTTTGTGAGTTATGTATGCTCATTTGGTACCTCTTTATGCTCATTTCAAACGTATCATACTAATGTTAAACTCAAATGAGTATAAGGCCAAAATGAATGACCATACACAAATGAGCTTTTAAATTTTTTGATACTCATTTTGTAAGTTAAATATGCTCATTTGGTGTTATTTTATGCTCATTTAAAAAGAACAGACTCGATGCTCATCACAATCTCATTTAAAAGTACTTATGATTTTCATATCAATTCTCATTTTATAAGTTATGTATGCTCAACGGGTATTTCATGTTATGCTCATTTGTAAAATGGCATAACAATGCATATTTCAAAAGTATCATATTGCATTAAATTCGCATACTAAAGTTAATAAGAGTTGATTATATATATAATTTAATAAGTTTTTATAAAGAAAAAATAAGGAAAAGAAAGTAAATTAGAAAAGATGAAGCAGAGATCACGATGCGCATTGTAATGCTTCTAATGCTTCTAATGCTCAACAAAATATGTCGCATGCTCACTAGACGTGTTTTAATGCTCATTTAGTACAAGACGTGAATCTACAAACTTATAAAGGTGAATGAGAGTTAGGGCTATTTTGGAACGTTAAATGTGTTGGTGTAACATAAGGCAATACATAGTTGTACTCTATGTTATCTATGTTGTAAAAATCCAAACCTTTGGTTACTATGCTTCCGTTTGATATCCGTTACATCTCATTTAAGCTATTCAATCAAACCATTCCTCATCTCTTATATATCTCGTGTTAGTGCCAATGACGCAATTCCTCACAACTCATACTACGTAATTGCTATTGCTATTTCAGGAAATGAGCAGGCCGTCCTTTTAAACCAATGGAGTTACGAGCTTTAGAGCCTGTTGGCAGCACAAAAATTAGTTGATTTGACTGATTCTGATGAAATTTATGAAGTTCTGACAGAAGTGGCTGCATTGGCTGATTCTGCTGATTAAAGAAAAAATTATTTTAAAATATATTCTATTAAAAAATAAAGAAAAAATTATATGTAAAATAGCTAAAATGATTATCTACACCAACTTCAGCTAATACAACCAGAAAAAGAACTGCAATCTTACTATTTCTGCTTATTACACAATTCAGTGCGGGAAAACAAAAGATATGTGTTTGGTGAAAAAGTTGGTTGATAAGCCTAATAAGCCGAAAAACAGTGTTGTCGAACATCCTCTCAATCTCTAAGTAGTACATCGTATAGTACAGAGTATAAATTTAGTCCACTTAGTTTATATTTTTGGTTGATGAATTGTTTAATTGGACATGGAATGCCAAGATAACTAAATTCATATGTCTAATTTCCACGAGGCCATAAAGTGTTTTTAATTGTCTCTAGCCTTCTACTTTGAAAATGATTTTTTAAGAAATTTTTGAAAAAGTGTTTACCACTTAGTAATAAAAATGTGTGGTGTTTGAAAAAAATGGTTTTGAAAAGATAAAAGTTCATAGTGATTGAGAAAAAATTGTTTTTGTATACTAGAAAAAGTGAAAAATAGAAAAAGTGAAAAGTGATTTTAAACCCAAAACTTGAAAATCGTTTTTTTTTTTAATTTTTGCAAACAATCCCTAAGTTTCAATATTATCATCGCCTCATGTTTTTTCTTGCTAATAAGCATAAAAATATGGTGACCATGCATATGTATACTAAATCAGCTTACATTGTATAAGAAAGCTTTCTTTTGGAAAATGTTGTATAAGAAAGTTATAAACTTAAAAATGTAATTTTTTAAATTATGAAGCTCATGACTTGCGATTTCATTGTATGTTTATATTTAATTGCAAAAGATAAATTTTATCTAAAGCTCCCTTGGTGTTTGTAATTTGTAAATTTATTTACGTGAGTACTTTTTGTCAATATGAAACCTTTTTTCAATTCATAGTATAATAGAGTCCGTTTGATAAGACCAAAACAACTGTATTAGCTGATTGTACTGAAATTTATGAAGTTCTGGTCGAAATGACTAGATTGACTGATTTTGCTTATTTTAGAAAATTTATATTTAAAATATGTTTTATTAATAGAATAATGAAAAAATTATATCAAAAAGTCCTAAAATGATCTTCTAAGGTAACTTCAGCTAATACAACCATAAAAGTAACTTAAATAATACTTTATCTTATTATTTCACAATAAAGTGCGTGAAATAAAAAATTATGTGTTTGGTGAAAAAGTTAACTAAAATGCCTGATAAACCAAAAACAGGATCACCAAATGGGATCTTAGACTCTCGTGTATGTATTTGCTAATCACAAATGTGTTTTCCCATGTTGAATTAATGTTTTAGGTCATTTTGAGTTAAGATTACAACTTCTAGAAATTGTGGTTTTATTTGTATGATTTTGTTGTCATTAGTGAATCTAGAAGAAAATACTTAGTATTACATAAACCCATGATAGAGTAATTAAGTTATACAAAGTAATATTATTGGGCATATTCCTATCGCGCAACACGCGTAGGACAACTAGTTTCATATAATTTACAAAAATGTCACCGGCTGTACGGTGAGAACCGTACAGCCTGCTGTACTATATACGCTTCCACCATATCTCCTCTTCCACCAATAAACCACATGACATCAACTTCGTCAGTGACACAACTCACCAATTTGGCATGTTTGACATTGTATTATACTACTTCTGTCCAACTTGTCTGACTTTAATTTTTTAGTTGCCAATTGCCATATTATATTATTACTTGTCAATTTTTTGTCACCTACCCACACAATAAAGTTATACATAGGCATGAAATAAAAACCCAAAAGGGATGAGTAAATTTGGGGAGTAAGATGCAAGGAATCCGGCATTGTCATATTTAGGGAGTGTTTGCAACTGCTTCTACTTAAAAAAAAAAAAAGCATTTTTGAAGATGTAAGGAAAAAGTGATTAGTAGTAAAAGTTGATAGTGTTTGAGAAAAAAGTGATTTTGAAAAGTAAAAGTTGGTAGTGTTTGATAAAATAGGTGTTTTTTGTGTAATAGAAAAGGGAAAACATTTTTCACACACAAGCCGAGAAAAGTAAAAATTAGTAGTGTTTGATAAATAAGTGTTTTTTAAGTCAAAAATTGAGAAGTGTTTTTTAAGTTATTGCAAACACTCCCTTAAGCTCTTCATACTGATGATAAAAAGTTGTAAAATCATTCAAATGTGTGAAAAGAGTACTAATGTTTTATATACAATGAAAAAATATGTGGGGCGACTACTCAGTACACCGCGTGTCCAAACTGTCCACGTCCCATATCATATGCAGAAAAACTGTTTCCAGATTTAAATACATGACCCAAACTTAGCATTGGTTGTGCCACGATTCACCCTCTAGTGATTGAATCATCGACGAGAAAAAATTAAAGTCAGCAAATGTTTAGTTGAAGCAAAATCCTTCTTAAAAGTAACCGAGATTTGGAGGTGTTAAGAATCAAAATTTACTAAACTGTCAAGTAAATGTAATTAGTAAATCATTGCACAAGGATCTTTAATGCTAATGAAACATAGACAATGGAAGCAGCTTGGCTCCGAAACAATTGAGCAGTCATGTCCAAACAGATTGATTTCTACAGCTGTGAAAAAGGGAAAATATTTGTGAAAAATATATATTTAGAGTGAGCACATACTAAATGGCCTTGGTGACTTGTTGTATAGGTTTTCAAGGCCTTGGCGACACTGAGTAGGCCAGACTCTCTCTTTCTGGATTTCCTGAAGAGGCTCAGTTTGTCTCTTATAATCCAGAATTACTCACAATCTATCTTCTTCTCCCTGGAAATTGTTTTCTGCCATCCCTGACATCAGCTGCAGCGTGCTTCTTCCGCCTTCCACCACCAGCAGTGGCAGGCTCTACTAAAGGACCAGACCAGTTCTGGACTGGTTCCTTGGAGTATGTGAATGAGGTTGAACTGAAAGGCACATCTGCAGGTACAAGTGAAGGATCAATATGATGCGAGGCCCCCAAAGGAACACCAAGTCCTCCATCCTGGTGTGGTGGTGGGAACTTCTCGCTCTTGCTCTTTGCATTTGCATGAGTAATGAGGCGTCGCCGCTGCAAACAATAGTAATTTCAACTTAGACTGAAAAAGACATGAAATATGAAAATCCTGTCTGCCTCGATGGGGGCGGGGGCAAGTCGAGGGTTGTACAATATAAAAAAAAATTACAGTACATGTTTGGCTCAGTTTGGAGATAATGAATAAACTAAGCCATTACTTTCCTGTTTGAGTCCTCTTATAGCCAACCCCGAAATCTTTTGGGACTAAGGCTTGGATGTTGTTGGAAGTTGTTTGAGCCCTCTTATACTTTCTAACCAAATAAGGTAATTGCTCACTAGTCACTACTTGTCATTCTCATATGCTCTTTTAAACTAAATATGTATGATGTCACTCATTCTGAAGTTTTGTCAATTAAACAAAAAATTGATGACACTCCAATTATAAATATGTGCATATGAAATTTCCATCCTGGAAAATAGTACGTAGTACTACGAAACATTCAAGGAGTTGAACAGATATATTAGCTTTCCATCAATACAAATAATGTATATCTATCTATCCATCAAATGCAATGCACAAAGAATGAGAAACAAACAGAGAATTAGAGACACAATATTCATGTATATATCAAACCTAAAAAATTATTGAAAACGGAATAACACATACATCAATGTTAGCTTGAAGTTCAGCATTGGCATCAGGTGCAGGAATTGCACGAACAGCACGGTCACGATGACGCGATCTTTTAGTGCCATCACCCTGAGCTTTGTTAGTTGCCCTTAGCCTACGAAACAGAAAATGTATGTTTGAAAAAAGTATGAAAGATTACGATATTACATGTACGTTTGCATCTTAGAGAAAAAAAAAGAGGTATATAAAAGGCAGGCATGCTGCCCTTTCTGAAGAACCAGCTTCACCCCAGACAGAAACTTCAATCAATTCATCTAATGACTGTTGATACATCAACTCATGACTTATTGCAGAATGACAGGATTACAGGAATATACTCCTCACCTTCGAGCCTCATCATCACGTCGTTTCGCATCCATCTCTTTGGTTGGAGGGTATATTGGGAGACTAGAGGGGTCACAAGCATAAGGTTCTGTGGAGAAGAACTGTAAAAAACAGAAAATCAGCATAAAGGTGATGATTAGGACCCGGGCAATGCTTAGCCAATGCAAAATAACTGAAATGTGAATAGCTCACAGTCACTTTATAAGGATGAATCTTTTAGAGAGAGACAATGGCAAGAGCATGAACAACAAATACATCATGGTAAGCATACAAGCAACACCAAGAAAACTTTTTGACTTGTTTATACTTTATACTACTCTAGAAAACAAATTTCCAGTCCTTTCCAGTCCTAAAATTCATTGCGTTGGAGGAGAGAGAGCAAAAGAGCTGGTGTGTATTCATTTCGCGTACCATCACAATTCTAAGTCCTCGCATAGATTCACATAGGCCCCTGCCTACAAATTTTCTTGACTAGGCCCTGCCTAGGCGCCATTTCATCCCTGGCTAGGTGCTAGGCTCTAGTCAACCAGACCACACTAAGGGGTCGCCTAGCATTATTTTTATCACACTGTAATTGTGTCATGTTTCCCATTTTGCATCATTTGCAATGGAGCCAAAGACTTACTATTTTTGGCATGGGAGTATGATGGAATAAAGCAAAATGGCTCACTAAACTGTCTACTCTTCTTTGTTATGAAGCAGAAGTCAGTTCATACAAATTTTGACGCAATTTTCACTATGGGTCATCCGGAAACAGTCTCTTTGTGCTTTAGTACAGGAGTAAGGCTGCGTACATCCGACCCCCCTTACCCCACCGTAGGTGGGAGCCTTTGTGGCACTGGGGTAATGATGATGATGATGATGTAATTGTATCATGTTTCCCATCATTTTCAATGGAGCCAAAAACTCACTATTCTTTGGCTTAAAGATATGATGGAACAAAGTAAAATGTCTCACTAAACTGTCTGCATTTTTTTGTTATGAAGCATCCGTCATTCCATGCAATTTTCGACTCGATTTTCATCATGGATCATCCGGAAACAGTCTTTTAGTTCTTTAGTATAGGGGTAAGGCACGTACATCCAATCCTCTTACCCTGCCGTAGGTGGGAGCCTTTGAGGCACTGGGGTAATGTTGTTCTTGTTGTAATTGTGTCATGTATCAAAAACCTTAATAACCAAATATTCATAGCTTTTGTGGTGCGGTTAACGTATTCTTAGTGTCCTTGTTCTCAGGAATTGTGGAAGATGGAGTTAATACTTGATAGTTGATCGTAAGATTTTCAACATTGAAATGTGTTTCACTGTTTCCCATACGGTTATGTTATGTGTTAGTTCTCCAGTGCTTAATTGAGCGAAATGTACATGTTCACAGAGCCCAGGCATGCAAGGGGTGGGAAACAGAGGTAAAAGGATACTACTCTAGTCCCTGTACGGTAGGCACCACCAGCGGAGCAGTGTGTGGATTGTGGACCACGATTTGTTTCAAAATTGCTCCGCAGGGGCCTGTGGTGGTCAAGTCATAAGAAATGGACATTGGATGCAATGCAGTACCATTACCACCACAGCAGGCGTTATTGGCGATGCTGCAGTAGTTTGGAAAACAGAACTCCTATTCTTAACCTAATGCCTTTTTTGCTCTAGTCTAATATATTATCAATATATCATTATATCAACCCTAGAGCAAGAGCATTGAGATGGAATATCAGCTAGTTTTAAGAGAGAAACCGGGAATGATCTGCTTGCAGTAAACTACTAAAGTTAATATAGCGGAAGCTTATAAAAACATGGAGTAAGCATTTGGCAACATCTTAAGTTTCTCCATTCCATTGTTCTTCCAAGTTTTTGCAAGAAATATAATCACTTGTCGGCTAGTGAGCTAGTCCTGTTTCTTTTTTATTTGAAACAATACGCTTTTCCCAATTTAAAGAATAAAGCTGCAGAGATATCGAATGGTGCAGGAAGTGAAAAGGTAGGAGAGAAGGTAAAAAAGTGAGAAATGTAGGAAAGTATGAAAAAGTAAGGGTTCTTGTGTCATCAATACATTTTTCATTGTCAAAGGGAGGATGTGGACCAAGTGAATAAAAACTTCTAATAAAAGGAAAGTGAAATAATTGAATTTTTGTTTCTCTCTTAAACATCAGGTACTAAATTAATTGTAGACTTTGCGCTTGCTGTGAACAATAGTTAATGACAGCAGGCTTTTATTTTCCTTCATAATGGTTCTTTAGAAATCTAGCATTGTGCATGCATTGTCATTCGTAATTGCATGATCAGATGACCATATCTTATGGTAACTCAAATCTATGTGTGAGGGCATGGCACACAACATATGCACGACATCTTACTTTGAAATCCATGCATGGAGATGAGAAGTTTCTACATTAATATATTAATGTATAGGATTTCTCTATGCCAAAGCGAGAGATTACTTTAAGTTGTCATTGTTGTTGTGACTTGCATGGTCGCTCTGCACAGAAGTGGCATTGACACCATTGATGCAATTCTTCACGCTAGGTAGTTTGAGAACTTCAACCATTATCGTATAATCGTTATACTTAAATCAAATAAACAGGCCTTCATTCATGTTATCTCTTAGTAGCGCTTGTTGCTCCTTCATGCATTGATGCATTACAACTTCTCTTTTATTCACAATCACAACCTTCACCATAACCAATGAGGACAGATAGGGGCAGCCAACCGAGTCCATCCCCGACCCTAAGTTTGGTAAAAACAAGTAATGCATAACTTTTTTACTAAAAAACTATATCTGGGAATAAAATGTCAGGTCCACGTCAAAGTTCAATTTTTGGGGGGTCCTAGACTCCTAGCTACGCCTCTGATCTTAAAGTTAGAGCTAGCCTAGGAAAAAATCTAGTATCTACCGCTTAATTAGTCAACTGTACAGCGAGTGTGTCCTCAGGGGATAGACAATCAGACATCTGTCACAAACAATAAGATGCTCGTGTTCAGCACAATTATTAAGAAACTAAATGAGATGTTTGTAATGGTTATATCCCATTTGGGAAAAACAGGACCACCAAGCGAAAAAGGTTAAGCCTGAAGGGAGGTTCATGATTATTTAAAGGCGAGAAAAGGGGCAAATACGCTCTCGAACTATTAGCAATTCTGCAATCAGACCCTTGAACTGGAAGACATTGCAAATACACTCATCGAACTATTGAAATAAAGCAATCGAGCCCTTTTTACCTATTAGTGCCGGTAACTTCTCATGAGAAAGTTGCCATCTTACCGGCACCAGGAGGTAAAGAAGGATTCAATTGTTTTATTTCAATGGATCGAGTGGCGTATTGCAAGGTCTTTCTTTCAAGGACCTGATTGCAGAATCGCTAATAGTTCGAGGGACGAGGGCTTATTTGCCCCTTTTTCTTTTAAGGCTAAGCCGTTAAATGTGAAAGTTTAATGGTATGTAAATTAAAGTATGAGATTGAAGATTTATTTTATTACAGGCTGAAGTAATTAATCTAAAAATGGGTCATGGTGAGCAAAATGTACATTTTAACATTCATGTAATGAAAGGCAGTGTTGTGTAATTGTGTTGAAACACAAAACGACCATAAAAAAAGTGTTGTGTTTGACAAAAAATGACATAGACAGGTGCAAAAAAAACATCGGAATGTTGGGACTTGAAACTTCATGAGCACATGTTCCATAACAGTGTTCTAAAAAACCCTAAGCTCTTAGCAAGGCGAGGCAGTGCATGAGCACACGGCAAAGTTAGAGGGGTCACATTTTATTTAAGACAGGCCACAAAGGAAGCCAAACAAGCTTTATTTAAAGTTGTTTGGGTCAACATATACTCTGGAACTATTCGGGCCTAAGGTAGGATTTGTTAGCAGAATTATAGAAAAAGGAAATGCATGCATTATATAGTTGACCGAAACGACTTTAAATAAAGCTTGACCCAAACGACTTTAAATAAAGCTTGTTTCGTAGTTTGTTGTTTCAATACACTCATGGCATTAAGAAAATCAAATGTGTCCTTTGACTCCTTTCAAGGAAGTTCCAATAACTTGAACAATTAGGCAAAACTAGAATTTAAGAAATATCTCAGCTTGATGGTGGGAAATGCTTTTAAGAGTTTCAACAAAGAGCTGCCTTGGAGATTCATGTGTACTCAGCATAGCAAAATCCATTGAATGGTGAAATTTAAACTGTAAAAGGACATACCTCACTATGCAATGCATCAGTTGCAGTCCTACGTTCTGCTGGATCAATTGCAAGCAGTGTGTCTATTAGTGGCAACGATGATGCAGGAAAATCTCTAAATGTCTCTCTAATGCATCGCTTGTATGGCTCTCGTGGCTTGAATAATGTTGCATTAGGCAACTTAGACTTCTTCCAATATTCATCAGATGGTGAACCACATAACTTATATATCTTATGTAGTTGCTCTACCTTAAATATAGAAAATATCAGTGTAAGTAAACTGTAAACCCCATATCGGAATGTGTTCTTGAGCTTAAGCACATTTTTATTTAAAAGTCCCAAAAAATAGCCTATACATCCTGCAATTGCTTAATAAACACTGCACTAGTATGAGACTTCCATGACATAGTTTTACCTTTCAATGAGGTACTTTCTTTTCATTTTTTATTACTTTCTTTCATTTTTGGAACAGTAAAGGTTCAAAGATACTTTAGTTAGCAGTACTGATTTATCAAAATATAAAGAGAAATAAAGATTAAGGTGTAATCATTGATGAAAGAATGACATACCCTAATATTCTAATAATAATAACAACAGCATATTTAGAAAGTTACAAAATGAAATGCTCATCTACATAAGTGCTATTCCCGCTCCCCTATTCTACTCACCCAACTAAACACACCCGACGATAAAATGATGCTATGATAGTATAAGAATATGAATGTAGTTGGATAAATTACTTCTGTACGACCAGGCATAATAGGCTTTCCGGCCAATAATTCTGCTAAAATGCACCCTGCACTCCATAAATCAATACCCACACTATAATCAGTTGCACCCAAAAGAAGCTCAGGTGGTCTATACCAGAGTGTGACCACTCTACTAGTCATTGGGTGCTTATGGCCAGGATCGAAAATAGTAGCCAGCCCAAAATCAGCAATTCTGAGTATCCCTGAATTGTCCAGCAAAAGATTTGACCCCTTAATGTCACGGTGGAGCACATGACGATTGTGACAATGCTCAAGTCCAGACAAAAGCTGATGCATGTAGCATTTCACCTACAAGAAATAGACGCTACATTCAAGTAACAACCACTTCTAAATGTTTACATGTATAACCAATAAACAAAAAAACATAAAGTCTAGTATTTTTTCAAAAATAGACTGTTACAGATCATCACTCTAACCTGGGCTTCCGAGAACTTAATATCTGGACTTGCAGCAAGTCCAGCCAAATCATGCTCCATATACTCAAATACAAGGTACAGACTACATGACATTCTTGATGTAACCAAACCTTCCAATTTTATAACATTGGGATGGTCAAGACGCCGAAGAATGATTATTTCTCTTGCCATGAACCGCACGCTCTCTGGTTCTAAATTGTCAAAGCGCACTTTCTTTAACGCAACAATTTTTCCTGTTATCGTATCCCTTGCTTTGTATACATTGCTGTATGTTCCTTGACCGATCTAAGACAACAAAAGCATCAAACAACTAACATATCAATGAAGCAAAAGCAATATAAAAAATCAAGTAAAACAATAAAAAAAAAAAATAGTTCAAAAGAAATGCAAATTAGAATGCACATTAGTACATTACATTGCCTACCTTATCAATTTTTTCAAAAGTGTCAGCACGTCGAGGAAGCCAGCCCTCTATTGCTTCCCCAACATGAGCTGAAAGCCAGGATGGCCATCCAGCAGCAACCTGCTCACCGTGTTTGTGCTTAGGTGGATTACTCAACCTCGGGTTTGGCTTAGACCTCCTCTTAGATCTTCCATCACCATCTATCCTTTCCTCCCTTTTACTCACATCACCACCATCTTTATCTTCAGCAGAACCATTTACTGCATCTACCTTGCTGACCCCTGAAGTCTCGTCGGTCTCAGTAGTAGACTCAAAACTTGTAGTCTTACTCCTCCTGTCATAATTATCAACTCTCCTATCTTCCTTCCCTCCAGATACTATGCCGGACGAGGTCTCCCGGCCCAAAACACACCCCATATTTCAAGTCTATAGTTCATGCCTCGACATTCCCATATAATCTCCGCAAACCAGTACTAAATTCCAAACTCAAACTACAGCACACAATTCTTGCCACCTGGTTTGAAAGAAAAAAAAACTGAACAATTGAGCGCAGAAACAAATGATCTAAACATTCGATTCAGCCAATTAAAATACAAGAAATTCAAAACAAGAAACCAGGATGGTCTGAAAAGTACGGATTCACTGATTGACAACGTGGCTAACCCTCCCTCCAGCAAATCAAAGAGAAAAGTGTAGAACCAACCAATTCACACAAAGTTAGGCAGATCAAAACCCTAACTTTAAAACAAGGAACTAACAGAAATTCAAACATATACATACAGATACACAAAACAGTGAAAAGAACGGAAAGAAAAGCTACTAACTTGAACTAACCAGTGTGAAGCGCAGAAGAAGCGGAGAAGTTCGAGAAATGGGTGTGCCTGCAATCTTCAACTTCACGGAATCACGGAACAAGGAAGTAGTACGGAAATCAGAGGATGAAGCGATCGGACTCTTATAAACAGTACCGGTGCAAAGCGTAATGTGTATCTGTATGTATGAATGGTATGTGTAGAATTAAAGAGAGATGTATGAGCAAGTATTATTATTATTGGTGTTTGCTGGAAGTCAAAGCTCCAGTGAGAGAGACGAGGGGTGGGGGCGTAACGCTGTTAACAAATTAAACCTTTTTCAAGATTGTCTCTAAATAAATACTCCGTAAATTATTCTTACATCATTCATCCAGGTTCTTTAGGGCTGGTTTGCATTAGTTTTAAAAAATTACTTATTTATCAAACACTATCATTTTTTGGCTTTACAAAGTACTTATTTATCAAACACTATCATTTTTTACTTTTCTTGGTTTTCGTGTCAAAAGTGTTTTTCCCCTTTTTATACACCAAAAACACTTATTTTACCAAATACTACCAACTTTTACTTTTCAAAATCACTTTTTTCTCAAACACTATCAACTTTTACAACTAATCACTTTTTCCAAATCACCCCAAAAGCGTTTTTTTAATCAGAAGCTGTTGCAAACACTCTCTTAAAGAAAGGATTTTTCTACTACACATCATTGTCACATTTTATTATAAAATAAATTTTAAATAATCTCAAAACTTAAAACATTTCATCAATCATGATGTTCAAATAATTAGTTTTCTAGGATATGCATTAAATGTAATTTAATTACTTCTTCCGTCCCAAAAAAAAATTCTCACTTTCATTTTTGGGTTGTCTCTAAAATTCTTCTCACTTGCTAAAAATGGAAAGTTTCCCCAACTAAAAACCCCTTTTACTCCTCTTAATTATGAGAAAAATGCTAAAGGTGCCCCAATTGGTACCCCAATTTGTACCCCTACCCTATTTTTGTGGCTCACAAAAGCACTTCATTAAAGTGGGGTAGTTCATTTATTGAAGTGGGCTTTTGTGAGCCACAAAAATAGGTTGGGGTACAAATTGAGGTACCAATTGGGGTACCTATAGCAGGGTTTCTTAATTATTTACCTTCCCACTTTATCTCCCCACCCCTATACTATTTGCGCCCATCACATCTAACCCTGATCGATCCATCTCCCTCTCTCTCTCTCTTTCCCAGTTCCGATCTAACCTCCTTCGGTCTTCCACTCCTACATTGTTGTACAGCTTAAAACTCTCTCCTTCTCTGATTTCTATTCCACTTAAATCCTAGCTCCTTCATCGATCTAATCGTTGCTCCTTTTCTTAAATTTCAACCCCTACATCTGACTTCCATGGATGCAAAATCAAGCCCCTGAACCCTTGTTCAAGATCCGGTGGAATACAATGAATGCATGGAGGATCTCGTGGTTCCGGAAAGCGAAAAGGATTCGGACGAGGTGGACGGTAAAGGTTCGTTGGAGCTGGTGGTTCCGAACAGTGAAGAAGAGTTGGACGACGAACACCGTCAACTTTCGATGGAGGCTGTGATACTGGACAGTGAAGAGCAGAAGGAGATGGCTGAAGTTCCATAGTTTGAAGCCTAAAGAAGACAGAGAGAGAGGTGCAAATGCACCCTCTTCGCAATCCCTGCCTGGAGGCCTTCTTTAAAATCATTCTACCTGGATGGGAGTCTAGGATGTCGGACATCGACACATAACAGGGGAGTTTCTATCTTAACATGTCTTCCTGTGTCATTCTGTCTGACTGATTTTTCTTTGTTGCATGAATGGCCCTTTTACTTATGTGAAAATGTTTGAATTTGGGGTAACAATGTTGAGTATATGGTGTGTTTAGGACTGAAATTGTTGGTTGTCATCTATGATGACCATCACAGGTCTCAGCAACCCTTGTGGCAAGCTGCTATGATGATCATCTGTGGTGTGAGCAAGCTTTAGCCCAGGCTGCTATGTTGACCATCCCTGGCCTAACCAAGGCCTGCGGGCATGTGGCAGGCTGCTATGATGACAAGCATTAGCCTAGGTCTAACCATGGTTTGTGTGAGGTTGCTATGATGATGCATATATGTGAGGCTGCTATGATCACAATGTGTAGTTTGAGCAATTTTTTTGTGGTGCTATAATGATGAATTCAATTCTGAGTAGCTACAAAAACAGGCTAGTACTAATTCAAAAAAAAAGAAATATGCCTTTACAATATGACAAAAATATAGGCCTTCACAAAATGACAAAAACTATGGCATTTTCTACATTTAAATAACTATAGGCCTTTACAAAATGACAAAAAATCAGGCCTTTACAATAATGGATCGAGTTCATGACTGAAGATGAACTTTTCCTCATCATCTTCTAGTATGAACTCCCCATTAATTGGCACTTCTGAGTCATGAGCAGTATTGGTGGTATTTACTGGCTGGGACAAAATAACTCCTACAGCATCTAGTAGCTCCACACCAACCTCTATGTTAGTGGGTAAAGTGCCTTCTACAATCATTCTATTCTTTGCATTATGTGTTACCTTGTAGTTGCCCCCCTCCACTTTGAAAATCTCTAACATCACATATTGAAAGCTAAGCCACACTTTGATGATAGTCATGGGTGAAAGCTCATAGAATGCCTCATCAACTGCCTATAACATTTCATCCACATTCTTAGGTGCTTTCTGATCTTTTAGAGACTGGATTGCCCTAAAGAGTCCAAGGTCTAGTATGTTGAGATCTGGGAAATTAGGGGGCTGATTAGTAAGGGTAATATTAAATCCATCAGCTTTAAAGGCAGCCAAAAAAATCTGGATCAGAATTTAGAATGTGTGGCCTTACATTATCCTGTTGGATTATGATTTCCTTGCTTAATTGTTGTGGCCATTTCTCCTTGATTGTAGGTAGCGCTGTGTTTATTAGCATGTCTTTAAACATTTTTTTTTTGTAATGCTGAGTATAGGCTTTGTTTCCATGACCCCTGCATTTCTGTTTTTGCTTTTTCGTTTAGCTGCCACTTTCTCAATAAATGGGAAAATAACAATCTTTCCATCCCAAATAACATCACCATTTTCTGAAAAAAGAGACCTACCAACTGCACCTAGTGACATAACTTTAGTTATGAATCTTTTGGACTTGCATACTCTATGTGGATCCTGCTCTTGTAGGCCCATGTAGTATCTTTGTGATGTTTTGGACATGAAAAACCAGCCTAATGTGACTTCTAAGAATACCTCTGTGAACCAGCCTGTGAATGGTTGACTTTGACATTGAAGAGGTAGAGGCAAATGCCCTTATGTTGGTCCTTTTGTAGAGAGGGATTTCTGGAATATGACTAACATCAAACATGACTCTTTTGTCTGCATGAGTTTCTCACTCACTTTGTGCTTACATCTACAGCATCCCCTTTTCAAGTTGCTCTTTGGTTGTGTTCCAAATGTTGAAAAAAGTCCTTCTAGTCACTGAGTATTTAGTGGCTAGCTTAGTAAACACACCTTTCTGAGCTAGCAATGCCCCAGAGTAATCTCGTTTAGAACTGATTAAGATTCATCTACTATGCTCTCTCTTTCCTTGTTTTCTAATCTCTTTGTTTTGATATTTGAGCTTGGTTCTGTTATTGTTGTTTGCAAGTCTGCAAACGCAGTTAGTAAAGATGAGGCCAGATCTTCATTTATGTAAGGCGCAGAAGGGGAAGAAGAAGGGTGGGCAGAAGTTATGTTAGCTGCCATAAATGTTGTCCGTATGTATTGTGTTTGGTGTGTAGTGTGTATTGAAGTGTTCTTTTAGAAATTGTATTTGTAGGAGGTAAAAAGAGAGGGAACTTTTCATGTTAGTAGGGTTTCCAAATCACTATTTGTATGTACTGTAATGGATGCTATGCGCAGGGGTTTTCTATCAAATCTATCAAATCATCTTTCTTTCTTTTTAAAGATGCGGTAATTTTTTTACCCCATCCCCTTTCATCCGCCACTTTAGTAGGTTTAGGGGTATACATGGAAAGTCAATGCAATTTTTCACTTGCATTAAACTCTTATTCGGGTCAGATTGGGAAGAATTTTCCGGGACGGAGGGACTATAATCCAAAATACTCCAATTTTTTAATTTTGATACCATATTTTCATTTTCAATAATCTCACTAAATTATCCCTCACTCACAATGATAATCTTTAAAATAATCTAACACATCATCTAATCAGATTTTAAATAAACTAATGGATGGAAATGTCTTAGAAATTTATGTATCTTAAAGTTACTTAGTACTCCTTTCATCCCTATTTAATCTTCCTTTTTTACTTGCATCCATATTAAGAAAACAGGGTCAATTTTAATGTAAAGTACACAGTATGACTTTTTTGTTTATCTAATAAGAAAATGAGACTTTATTAAAGTATATTTTAAAAATGACAGTTGAGAGTATTATTTTAAAAAGCGGCAAGACAGAGCTTGGATGGCAATAACATTTTTGATTTATTGTATTATAACTTTTTTTTGAATAAAATTCACTTTCATTGATTCAAAATGTCGTTGTTCAACTGACCAACAATACAATAAGGTGGACTACATATCAAATAATAATCATCTAACATAGAAAGGGCAACTCGAGCAAGCTTATGAGCTACCACATTCGTGGACCTCTGACAGTGCATGACTTCTATCCTATCTCTTCCTGCCATCTCAGACGTCACAAGTAGAGAATTCGTTTCCACGTCAACATTCTGCCAGCCTTGTGCTTGAACCCATCGTACAGCCTCCCGCACTCCCACGGCCCCCGTTATCCCTGCCATCCAGTTGGCTTCCTTCGTTTGCCACCCTCCCTTTATAAATTTCCCATGCTCGTCTCTTGCCACCCATGCCCAGGCTCACCTGTTTCTTGTCAGGTCAAGTGTCGCATCAACATTAACCTTGATCCTTCCCGATCCTGGCTTCTTCCGGCGCACCTGTCTCTTTTCTGCACTCGCCCTACTTCCCACCTTTTGGGCTTCTTGCGATCCTCTGAGGACTGGCGATCCAATCTCTAAACATTGTTTCCAGTTGCCCTTCTTATTCTTCCAAACTTTGTCATTCTGAATCTTCCATAGACTCCATAAAGTAGCATAAATCCTCACCCTGCAAATTTTCAAAAAAGCTTTAAACCCAGTTATTAAAATATTCACCCTGCCTGACGAATCGAGTTCCCAATTTTTACTGCATTGTCTGCGCCACCCTACACTACCAAAACAAATGTTCCTTAGTTTCATCAGCCTCCTCGCAAAGCTTGCATGTTGAAAACACACCCACTCTCC